GAAACTCGGTACTACGGGTGATGATAGATAGATAGATAGATAGATAGATAGATGGATGGATGGATAGATAGATAGATAGATAGATAGATAGAGAGAGAGAGAGATATATATATATATATATATATATAATTGTGTTTATATAGATGTATATATGTATATGTATATGTATGTATATATCGAAATAACATCGTTTTGGTTTATGATGGTAACTCAAACAAATGAAGCACCTTAACAAAAGCCCACCAGAGGTGCGCTGGCTGCATGTGCTGGAAAGTATTCGCCAGAAGCCCAGCATGCCTGTATAGAGGGTTCAGTTAGGGTATTTAGCATTTGGGGTCGAGGGTTTGTTGTTTCGGTTTACAAAAGGGCCCAAGTATTTAACGGAGCCCTATGTGGTCTGGGGGTTGGGGCTCGTAAATACCATTTGAGCTCTTGGAGTCTAAAACCAACCCTAAACCCTAAAACCCTAAACCCCTAAACCCTATACCCTAAACCCTAGACAAAAGGACAGAGATTGGCCAGGAACCGACGCTAAAAGCTCTCGCATGGGAGGTTGTCAGGCCTCCCTGAGCCCGATATCTTCAGGCCCAGCAACAATGGCCAGAGCGACCAATACCCCCCATTGAGGAATAAGCTTCATAGGCGTTAACTCATGATGAGACCCTGAACCCTAAACCCTAAACCCTAAACCCTGAACCCTGAACCCTGAACCCTAAACCCTGAACCCTAAACCCTAAACCCTAAACCCTAAACCCATACTAATGTTAGTAGTTATTTAGGCCCCTTTTTGTTCATCTCCTGCAGCTCAGCTCAGGAGCGATCGTTGATGAATCCGATGTTGATGCCGCTTCTCAGCACCAGCTCATTGTGAGGATTCCCAGTTAAGGCGAGCCTGGTTGAGAAGTATATTAGAGTCTATTATAGTATTTATCGTATATTATAGTATATTCTAGTATATTCTAGTATATTCTAGTATATTATATTAGGGTATTATAAGTTTGATGCCGCTTTTCGTTGGCTCGATCCTGTTGAGCTGCTAATTGCTTCGCATCTACCCAAGCCGAGCATGTAGGCTTCACGACGACCAGGGTCTGCTATAGCTTAGACATGCCATTTTTGGACTTATGTGTGACTTAGCGTGTCCAAGACGTGACTTCTGAGGGCTGTTCAGCTAGCTTTACGGCTTTGCGGCTCTGCGCATGGAGAGGGCATCGGAAGAAATCCAGATGCTGCGGGTCCTGAAAGTTTCGGGCGACGAAGCCTTTGCAATACCAGCTGAGGAGTTCAATGTTAAGTTCAACGAGTTGGAACGCCCTGTCCGCGCATTCAAGCGACATTTGCAGAGCGTGTGTGGGGAGCCACGATTTAAGCAGCGGCTGCTACTGGAAGATGGGACTGTCTTATGCGACGATTCGAAGATTGAAGCTGCACAGATCCAGCTTGTGCTCTTGAGCTATCGTGCTTCTGAATCCGCCACGGAAGAGGCAGAGCTCATGACTGCTGCTCAAGACAACGATGTGGAGAAGTTGGAAAGCCTTCTCCAGCGACCTTTGCATCCGGACAGTTGTCGTGTGGCGCCTGCTGCCCTTGCGGCACGTGGCATTGAACGCACCACGCCCTTGGCTTGGGCCTGTTACCAGGGCCACTGCGATGTTGCGATCTTGTTGCTGGAGGCCGGTGCTGTAATGCAGAAGACCGATAACAAAGGTCGTGCCGCCATCTCGTGGGCTTGCGTCGGAGGAAGCCTTGAGGTGGTGTGCATGTTGCTGGAGGCCGGTGCAGACCTGGAGCATTCCGACGATCATGGCAGGACGCCATTGGCTTTGGCTTGCGTTGAGGGTCATGTGGAAGTCGTGCACCGCTTGCTGGAGGCAGGTGCCGACAGAGACAGAGCCGACGTCTTCGGGACCTCTCCTTTAGCGATGGCTTGCAGTCAGGACCGCTTGGAAGTGGTCCGGCTCTTGTTGGATGCTGGCGCCAAGAAAGACACGGTGGACCACGAGGGTGAAACCCCTCTTTCTTGTGTCTGCAACTTAGTAGCTGAGTGAGTACACTTTACACTTTTTGGGATTATATGATCCCTTATAGAACTCAAAGTGTACACTTTTTGGGGCTTATCAACTCAGCAACTAAGGCAAGCAAGGCCGCTTGCAAATCGTCCGCCTCTTGCTGGAAGCGGGGGCCGCCATGGAGAGGGTGGACTATGATGGTAACTTGGTGTTCTTCTGGTTGGATCTTAGGACTTTAACTTTTGGGGTTTCTATAAGATTACCTTTTAGGAGGGGTTCAGCAGTCAGCCAAGGTAAAACCCCGTTGATATGGGCTTGCGCCCTGTTCCGCTCGGATGTCGTTCGCCTGCTGCTGCTGGCTGGCGCCGACAAGAACAAGCCTGACGACCTGGGTAGGACACCACTTTCCTGGGCTTCTTCTGCCGGCTGCTTAGAAGCTGCACAGTTTCTGCTGCACGCCGGCGCAGACAAAGACCAGGCGGACAATCTCGACAAGACGCCACTCGCGTGGGCATGCTCTAACGGCCGCTTGCCGATGGCCCGTTTGCTGCTCGATGCCAGTGCCGATGCTACCATTGTGGACAAGAGTGGTCAAACGCCTTTGGCCTGGGCAAAAACTGTTGGCCACGTGGAGGTGGCCCGCCTTCTGCGTAGCCGGTCGATGAAGCGGAGAAGGGATGCAAGCGTGCCCGACGCCGATGGCTGAAGAAAGGCCAAATCTAAAGGCTGTGCTGCAATTTTGAGCTGCGGGCTGTTTTATCAAGGAATATACCTTAAATTTTAATAGGAGCCCTAATAAGATTTAAGGTCTATTCCTTAATTAAGGGATATTGGAGTCCCTGGGCTTTCAGGGTCTCCTTATTTTGGGGTCCTTATGATAAGGATGATACTATTTAGAGTGCTATATTAGGGTCCCCTATTTTTGGAAACCCCCATTTTGAGCTGCGGGTTGGTTTACCCCTAAACCCTAAACCCTAAACCCTAAACCCTAAACCCTAAACCCTAAGCTTAATTAAGGGATATTGGAGTCCCTGGGCTTTCAGGGTCTGGCCTTAGCTTCCTCCTGTACGCTCCAAGTGCGAGGATCCCAAAGGAGTGCCGAAATCCCCGAGACTTCGAACCCATCCTTCCTTGCAGAGCCTCCAATATCCCTTAATTAAGGAATATACCTTAAATCTTACTAGGGTTCCTATTATAATTTAAGGTATATTCCTTAATTAAGGGGTTTTGGAGGCTCTGAGCATTGCAGTACGCACAGTGGCGGGTGTTTTTCGGCCACATATCCATGGCCGCATGATTACAGGGTCCTGGTGCTAATACATCGTAGCCCCTTACATACTCCTGTAGCTGGACCCTCCTGATCAGGAAGCGTATTTCTCAAGGTCTCGCCCTTAATTTACGCGGACCATGTACGCACACATACATAACCGATTTGAAGCTAGGGAGGGTTTTGGTGTTTAGTGCGAAAGCTTTGAGATAAACCTAAACCCTTGCTTCGATTCACAGACTGGTGTATTGATCTTGCATGTAGCATGTCATCTTATGTTAATGATTCTTGGAGTCATTAAGATAATGGTGAGCAACAAGACTGGCATTGGAACAGTATCATCCCCTAAAACCTAAACCGTATAGCAACGTGCTATCTATCATACTGGTGTGACCTTCTCATATTCGTAGTAAGATATTTCCCAATCGGGCTGCTATCTGCCGCAATGGTACTATTCCAAACATGAATCCACAAGCTCCATCTAGGAACCCCTCAAATAGCCCCCCGTNNCCCCCCCCCCCCCGCCCCCGAAACCTTCAAAACCTGCACACGAAACCGCAAAAACGCCCTTGAAGCCGCAAGCTCTAAACCCTCAGTCAAATCGTGTAAACCCCTGCACCCTACACCATGGTATCAGGATGTACAATACATATGTATATATGTATATATATATATATATCTGTATATATGTATATATGTGTATATATATACACATAACTATAGATATACACATCCATATATATATATATATATTATACGAATATGTAGATC